CATTTCCTTTATTCAGCATTTTACTGGAGGGGTAGTTATGAGGTATCTACCAATAGTAGGTTAAGTAATAGAAACCTAAAACCACTCACAGATATTCCCAGATCTCTCCAGGAGTTACATTCCTCAAATGACTGGAGCATGATGCATTAATATAATTACACTAAATTACATCTATACAGTTTCTTTTATCTCATATATTCCCAAAGCAAAATACAAGTTGAATGAATATTCCACTCTCACTGCTCACAAGCCATTTAACAATAGGCTAAACACGTTTTGTCAGGTGATTCCTGTTCCCTGACTCATGACCATGGATACCCCTATCAGAAGCATTCAGCTCATCCATCTGAAAATGGTCTTAGGCATGTATGAGGCACTAAATCACACTTATTTAAATTAAAGCAGGCACTCACACAACTCTTCACTGCACTTTTGTTGCTCTCTTGCACATGATTCATATCAGCACTTAAAGAAGAATGACAAGAATAGATTATAGAACAATCAAAGAACTTATGATGACCTAAAATACAGCTTTTCAAACTGGGGAGGTAGCTTCAGATGCTAAAAGAATTAAGGCTAAAAATAAAACAACTCCTTGCCTCAAGAAGGCAAAGATCCTTGAGCAAAAAGAAATGCTCAAGCCCAAGGGTTTAAAACTGCTTTTAGTAGTAATCTGACAGGCTGAAAGGGATATCTTTTCCTTACTTTTTCATACTTCACCAGTTCTTGCCATGCCAAGTTGGATGGCAGCTGCAAAGTTCCTAACAGTATTTGATTTAAGAAAGCAAAAGTGACTAGACAGATGTTTATGCAATCTCTAATGTGGGGTTTGAAAAGAAAATGGTTGTTGGAGGCTGGTTGTAAATAGTTACATGATCCCTGTGCATTTCATCAGTGCACATGTTCTGGATCTCTAGTGCCTCCAATCTTACTGCAAAAGTGACTCCAAAATTTGCTGGAGTCTGAGTACAGCTGAACAGACCGGACCCATAAATCATTTGACTACATGCTTTGCCCTTAAAATTGCAGGGCACAAAAGAAATTACCTTGTCAAAGCCTCTTAGAAAACAGAGCACACTTTTAAAGACTGCATCCTTATATGCTTCACATAAAGTTCAAACTAATGGCAACAGCCCACAGGCATTAAAAGAAATAACAGCAATCAATGCTATTTTTAAAGGGAAGAGTGGGGGCGAAGGGTTAACATATGTGGAATTAGCCCCGGGCAAAATGAGAAGCCATTGCATCTAAAATCAAATGCATTCTCTGAAATAGACACCAGGGACCAAATTCCCATGTACACTCCTGCAGTCCAAGAGTTTCAGCAGAATTTGGCTTCCTCTTAACTTAGCTTCATTAGGTCATTTCATGCCATCAGTTTTTATGTTGGACACCCTACGTACTGCACATCAGTTGTTGGCACTATGTAGACAATTTTCCAAATTGGAGGGGGAGGAAAGGGTGGTGTGTGTAAAAGGAAAAGGAATTTTTTCCCATTTAGAATAAAAGTAATTTCTCAGAAGAGTTTGAGGGGGGAAAGTGGTATTTGTATCCCTTCTACCAGATGTCATCAGTGACAACAAGAGCCAGTATTAAATATCTCTTCATCAAATTCTTCTTAGAATTTTTCAGCGTCAGCTGGTCAAAAACCCATTCAGAAAACAGGGAAAGCTGAAATCTTCCACAGCCATTCTTGACCAACAAAAGATTATCTTCTCTGCAAAAGAATTCTGTGTCTGAAACTGTTTCATGGAGGACAGACTTGCAGAATTTTTAATAAGGAAAAAACTTATAGCAGTAATTTTTCTCATGTTTATATACTGCAAATGATACAGAACCTCCTCCTCAGAGAAAATTTTTTTCAACGGTCTTTTGTTGCCTTTTGATCAGCTGCTGTCAGTGCTGGATGCACTAAGGTCCTGTAGGTACCCTTCATTTGTCACTTTTCTGTCTGGCACCCTGGTTTATTAGTGACTAGTTCCAGTGATTGGTTAGGTCTGTCTTCCATCTTAGAGGGAAATGCTATGGGAAAATAAATGCCTTGATACTCTCTCTGACATTAAGACAGTCTCTGCACTGTCACCTCTTACTCTGCCACCACCTCAAGCTGTGATGCCAATTGCACTGTCATCCCTTGCCATCACTTAATCCTGGCCATAATGATACCTTGTGCTGTCACCCATATGACTTGTCTTTCACTGTGCTGCTACCCCAAGGCACAAGTGAGATCCAAGCTGACAAGCTCCTCACCCAGCTAGGGTACAAAATTTGAGAAGAAAATTGAGATGATCAGATAATATCCATGAAAAAAGTAACTAGCACAAAGGAACACTGAGAAACTGCACTGGCCAAACAATTCTAGAAAATAATCTCCGACTGAAAACTGAAAAGATGCTCTTCAGACACTGTTATAGTGATGGTGTTGCTATTGAAATTTTTCTCTCTATTCTGAAAGCAAAGATCTTTCATGTAGGGCTCAGGGACTTCTGTCTCAGAAACAGCTGGGCAGATCACAACCCCTTTGCTTCATACATACCCGACTAAACAGGTTGTCAGAATCTTGCAGAATTGTAAGATTGTCTCTGGAAACAGAACAGATGAAATACCCTCCCCCAACCAACTGTTCTGATGGATTGACATATTATTTTACCTCCTTTAGCAACAAATTCACTGTGTGTTTTTTTGTCTTTCCAAACAACAACAGATCAGACATTCTGGAGACAAAATGGCTATTATTTCCCCTGATTGGTTTACTATGCAAAAAATACCTGAAAGTTAAAAGGATACTTTTAATTTTTTTTCTTTTTGTTTAGTGCTCCAACAATGACACTCTATCACACAGAGCGTCTACAGATAAGATAACAAGTTATCACTTTTAAACAGTCATTAAAGACACCTCTTCAAAAGTTATTGTGCTTCATTTCATCTGACTCCTCAGATCAAGCATATCAGACAGTGGGGGCTTTTGTCTTGCCCTACATCACATGAAGAAGCTGGTGTTTTCTGTTTAAATCAGGAAATTTGACATGACTCTGTTCTTTTTGCCTATCTGGCCACTTATCTTGTTTCGTTTGCAAATATCATATGTATTCTCTTGAGATAAAAATAGTGCAAGATGATTAGTTAGGCAAGTTCATTTGACACCATTCCCCCTTCGTGACGCTGAAATCTAAAATCTGTATATGGTATACAACTTAAAGTATATATATGCAAGCTCAGCTCTGCTGGAGATACACTGCAAGTGCCTTCCTCCCAACCTGACTGTTTCCTTATCCAGTCAAGAAGACCACAAAGGTAAGATGATTAGATCTTCTGCTTTCAAAGAAACACAAAAGCAAAATGCTCCCTAAACTGGAAAGCAATTAAAGTATCTATTCTTATCTCAGCTTCCAGTATGTTGTATCTTTACAAGCTAACATAGAACAGGATCAGCATTTGGATCAGAGGATGGAACAAGACAGGAATGATGCCCCTTGTCAAAAATGCTGTGATTTTTAGGTTTTCCTTCAACTCTTCCCCTTTTTAATCCTGTAAGCAGTGAGACTTAAGTGAATGGATGAGCTCAAAGTTATATTGCTTAATGCTGAGAGGGAGAAGTATTTTGCACAAGAACCCACTGGAACAAAATAATTAAGTAGAAAAATAAAAGTAACCCAGCTGCCTGAGCCGGGGAAGGATTCATTGCCATCAGTGGGATGTGTGCCATCACTTTCTTAACCATTTCTGAGATATTCAGAAAGGAGCTAAAATTATTGACAATTTCTTCTGCTGCAAACCAACAGGTACAGAGGCAGCCATTTATTATTTTAGAGGAAGTTTAAACCTGTGTTTAGCTCTCAAACCAGTGCACAGACTATAAATGGGTACCACCAGTTGATTCCTTCTCAGTCCATACTTAGACAGGAAGAATGATGTTGCTGAAGACTAGTTAGGGATTAATGAAAATGTATTTCTATTCTCTTCTGGGCTTTCATGAAAAACTTTTCTATGCCTTAGTCCCCTTCTTTCACTAACATAAATTAAGAGTAATGTTGCAAGTTTTAAACTGTAATCTGTCTGCACTGGTGTGTGCTGTTTATAAAACTGTAAATGCATCAATACACTAAAATCAATTAGAAATTCAGGCATTATTGCATTTTGTTAAGTGATACACCTTGCACTGGCAAACTACTGCAGCTGTTGGTGGCTGAATGGGACAGAGTATTTTTCTCAAATGAATTGCGGCTGTGTCAGAACCTCCACTCTACTAAGAATGAATATTAAGTTATGATACTTCTTTTCTAAAGACAACCACTTACTGAAATGCCAAAATCTGGGCAAAGATACGGTTTACTATAACCTATATGGAATCCAAAAGGAAAACAACCTTAGAAAATACTGACAAAAGCTTTTTTACAAAGCTCTCATGAAATGTAGTCTTTCAGTGATGCAGGAGCCCAGCAAGACACACATTGTTGCAACTAAACAGAGGAGGAACTTGCCCTCCAAATTTACATGAGTAAAATGACTATTACTAATTCTATACTAATATTTTCATTCTTTGTGAAGGTCACTACATCTATTGATAATAATATTAGTCTTTTCACATTCCAATTACACTTACTCCAGATACAGTTCTAGAGGACATACCAGCCCTATCTTTTATGTGTGCTGTAAATACACTCTGGGTTTTACTGAGTAATAATCCACCTCCAGGAAAGCCCACACAGAAGCCATGAAGTTCTGTGGTGTTGGACACCTTGGACATGCTCTCTGGGCGCAGCAGAGGCAGCAGACCTTCCTGAAGCCCCACGCACTCGCGTGCAGAATTCCTCCCTCATTCCCAGCTTTCAGTGGAAGCACCTGCTCCAGACATCTGTTACAGCGTGCTCCACTTGCCATCAGATGAATAATGTCTCCCCTATCACACACTGTCAGTGCAGCAACTTCAAATAGAGCCATGAAAGTAGAAGAGAAGTCATTTTAATGACTAAGTAGCTCACATTTAATTTATTTTACAGTTCAACAATGGCCATCACTGACATCCTCTCTGCTAAAGATATTGAATCTGCTCTCTCCAGCTGCCAGGGTAAGGAATGGTTGCTCTGCAGACAGAAGATGCGTATCATTTTTATGTCTTAAGATGACATGCCTATCATTTTCCCCTTAGATTCCTTCCCTGTGAGATCTCTTTCTACACTACATTACAGTATAGTCCCTTAAATTCAAAAGGTCTCACAAGTGGTGAACAGCAATTAAAGGGCCACCATTTCAGTTAGGGCTGGCTTAACACTAAGCTGTCAGTGTCTAAACTTGTTAAAGACTTACATATAAAAAGTTGGCTTTGTCCTTCAAAATTTCAGAAAAAGCCTCAGCTTGCAGAATGAGTGTAATTTGTGAAGCAATTATCATTCTCACTTCTCTTAAGAGCAGCTCAGTAAGATCAAGACAATTTTCAAAATACTCAAAGATCTGGTCTGTCTCTGAACTACTTATTCTTCTATCAAATGCTTTACCTAAGTAAGGATTCCATTACAATTAATGAAGAATTACAGGAGCTGTTTGTAAGTCACAGCAGCACCCTCTTAATATTATAATTAATTGAATGTGACACATTGTATGAATCCTGATCTAGCAGAATGTGCATTGTAGCAGAAAACTTTAAACTGGCTGAAAGGAAATATGACCACAGGCACAGAGTGATTAAAAAGGGAAATTATTATCCACTGTATCTGCTCTTTTGCTACACCAGAGAACAAGAGAAAGAGAGCAGACTGATGCTTAATAAAAGACATACATATTCACAAGGAATACACACAGTAGTAACGACTTCAAAGGAGAATATTTAACAACTTCTTCTTTCTTCCAGCTGATGATTCCTTCAACTACAAGTCTTTCTTCTCCATGGTTGGTTTATCCAGCAAAACTCCTGATCAGATAAAGAAAGTTTTTGGAATCCTTGATCAGGACAAGAGTGGTTTCATTGAAGAAGAGGAACTGCAGTAAGTACTGTTCAGATGCTCTACTTCTTTAAACAACAAAATCCTTTGAACTTGCTTGGTGTCCCTGAAGAAACCCTCGATGTTATTTTAAAAATAAAACACAAATCCTTGTATTTCCTTGAATCTGTGTGTATTCCCTCAGATAATTAGAACAAATATTACCTTATGGGACATTTCAAAGAGCAAAACTCAAGCACAGCCCCCTTTTATATTTCAGGCTGTTCCTGAAGAATTTCTCTTCAAATGCCAGAGCCCTCACCTCGGCAGAGACCAAGGCTTTTCTGGCTGCAGGAGACTCTGATGGTGATGGCAAAATTGGAGTGGAAGGTAAGACATTAGAAAATTGATAAACTTTGTGGTTTAAAATTAACACATTTCAGGCTGCTTTTAAACTGGGTCATGAAGAATACACACAACTACTTTGGTCTGATACTTTCTGCCACAATTTTTATATGAGTAAATACTCCATTATTTTCACAGCTTTATTCCCATTTGGTCTCTGTTGCAGCAACAGAATATTTAGGCCCATTGTAGAGTCTGGTCTTCCAATCAATGATAATAGCTTTGGGGTTAATCCTGCAGTGTTTCTGATCCATAGACTCAATGTGCCAAATTCTTAAAAGATTAAGAACACCTGAATTTCTCAGAATTTCTATTTCAGCAGTGGATGTTCAGCACTTCTGGCCATACAACATTTCCATTTTTAAACACATCTCCACCTTAAAAATCTTATTTCTTTGTCTCCTACTATCAAACATTGGCCACTATTACTGGGTGCTTAATTCACTAATTTAAAATATGACTGGTATTGTTTCTCAGGGCTGCAACTGCAGCAGTGCAGCACAAGATTTTGTGCTGGAAAATTATCTGATAAGTGCACATTTTACTGGGCAGACCTTTGAGCAACTCAATCAAATTCCTGAGGAAAACCTCACAGGGATGATATGAACTAGTCAGGTTATTTCTTTTAGAAACCACAGTACAGAAAAATAGGACATTATGCATCATGTATGAGAGAGGAAGTCACTGAAAACAGGGCTGTCTCAGCTGAACTAGGACAGGTGGCAATAACTCCAACAGACACACGTGCTAATCTTAGCCAGATTTGGGAGGAGAGAGAGATACACTGTTGGGAGGAATTTGCTTTAGCAGCAGCTTTTGCAGATTCTGTTTATGAGCCCCAAACAGGGCATCGTATTGTGCAGATCTTGGCCCTTAACCATTGAATCTCCCATTCTGGAATTACTTCACTACAGATATTTTTTATTTGGAATAACAACAAAACAAAAAAACTCCTCTCACTCTGAGCTACAGGCTCCTCTTCCTTGGCTATTATCAGAGTTTGTGATGGGGTAAAGATAGTTTACCTTTAAGTAAGGATTTCCCACAAATACAGATTTACAGACACACTCCTCCTCTCTGCACTTACTCTTTTTAAGGAGCGAAAAATCTGTTACGCCCCCAGAATCTCAGTTTAGCAGTAGCTTGTGCAGTGTTATAATAACTTTGGGAGCCCTCCATGCCTAGGAGTTTTAGTCATTTTTATCTATCTTTTTAAAGATGTCAAAAAACTACTTTCAACGAGTTTTATTCCCTGCTTTTCTCACTTTCTTCCCTGACAGAATTCCAGTCTCTGGTGAAGGCATAAACAGCATTAAGACCAAAGACAACCTTGGACTGACTCTGCCAATTACCTCGTCCAGCAAGCACTTCCCACTCAGCGTGTGTTCGTACATTTTTATATTGTTTCAGGCATTAACAGTTCCCCACATGTGAAGTTCACACACCTGATTGCTGAGAAAACTTGCAATGTTTTGGTCACATGGTATTGTTACATTTCCATTGTAAAAAAGGCACTTTGTGATTTTCCATCACTGATAATGTTGATATTGTGGTTGGGAGAGGGGAGAAAACAATTAATAAATCAACTAAACAAAAAGACCCTTGGGGGGGAAAAGCTGTTTTTAAAAATTTTGTTTAGGTTCTCCATCCTCATACTTGAGCATGCTGACTCACCAGATACAGTTTTGATGATCTTAAATCATCTTAAAAATCATCATTTTGATGATCTTAAATTGTCATTTTAAATATGGTATCATCTCAGGCTTAATTGTACTGATTTAATTGAGGTTTATTTCTGATTAATTCTCTGATACTTGAGGAAAAGAAATGCTGAAAAGATAGCTAAAAATAATTCATATTAAGTCCCAACCCTACCAATATGAGAAAAAAAATTAAGACATTTAAGAGGAGTTCACATATAGCTCAAAGTACTGAATAAGTTGTGGGTAATTTTCCAAAATAAAGTAGTAGATCACAGCGTAATTGTATCGCCAGAATGTGTTTATGGCCTAAAATGTGACTGTCCCTTAAGAAGATTTATCTTTCATGAAATCTAAGGCAGCTGTGAGATAGAGGAGAAGGGTCTAATCCTACTCTGACACTGTCACAAGTCATGGTCCCCTGACAACCTGGGCCACAGGCCTGGAGGTTTTTCCATGGATCATGAACCTGTTGCTTATTGTCTCTTAACACATACAAAACAATAATACTTGCCACATCTGTGAATTTCTGGGCTTTCTTCAGATGAAACTATAGCCAATCTTGCTGTCTGATTACCCTAAAGCTCTTACATTGTTAAATAAGGGCCATTACTCAAGTCTTTCATTTATTATATGAATTATTATCTATATGTTCTATAATAACAGCAGTTTTCTTCAGTCTGAAAGCTAAGAACTAGTCTTCCCTTTGAGAAGTGTCTTACAGGATTTAGAGTTGGTTATAGCATTGTCTTCACTAGTGGACAAAGTAAATAATGTTCATGGCTAAATGCAGACATCAGCAGGCTGAATAGATGTTGTGCATCTCTGGCTGAGTGTGTCAGAAATTTCCCCACCCTGATTTAGCTGTTTCCTTCCCCATGTCTCATACTGTGGCTCCAGCTCACAAGCACACTGTTGTTTTATTACTCTTCACAAAAACTGAATGATAATTATGATTTGGCAGCTGTTTTGAAGAAGAGCAGAAACAAAGCCTTTGGAACTTTTATGAAACAGCCAGTGTTGGCATTTCCATGAATTGCAAGATGATTATGTGAAACAAGCACAGCTCCCTCATTTCCAGGCATGTAAGAGAGCCAGCTGACCAATTTAAGATGGCTAATGCAAAAAAGGAATTCTAGCAATCAGACTCACTGAATCCATGGCAGAATTAAAATGAATATAAATCCTAATTCTATCCCCACTGCCTTTGATGTTAAATCTGGGTTTAAATTATAGCTGCTGTTAATTGCAGCACTGAAATATTTTTCATAATGATGAGACTCTGGTTCCTTTTACCTTAATTATTTCCCTGCTGAAGAAAAAACCTGGGGCAACCTAGATCTGCAGCAATATCCAGATGTAATATATACATTAGCTCTTCACACTGCTGATCACTCAACTCTCCTGTCACTGGCTCATGAGCAGATGGCACACACAGTACCAGAAATGACAGACCTGACACTGCATTCCTTGCACCTCTGAGACTCTCATGTGGAATGCAAAAAATGCAAGACTGCACAGTGGCCCATACAGGGTATTTCAAAGATGCTGAACAACTGCACATCACTGCCTTGTGCTGCCACAGGGGGATAAAGTACTCCCAAGAATCAGGAAATCCTTTTGTGTGCTGCAACTTCACCTATGCTTATAAGAAAATCTGTTAAATCTTTTCTTCTTAAATAGTGGCAAGAAGATGTGTTTTAAATCTTACTAAAATCATCCAGCCATTTCATTCAAAGGAATTATAATAACAATTCAAGAAGTCCCCAGTTTAAAAAAAAAAAAAGCCCATAGGCTTCAGCAAAAATACCACCTACTTTCTATTAAGGTTTCTGTTGGCATTAGGATCCACATTTTAACCAAATTAGAAAAGAACAGTTTTCAGCAACAGAAAACAAATTTTTAAAATGTGACCTTTTCTGGCAAGGTTAATTTTAATTAACTTAAGTCAGTGGCAGCTTTCAGTTTTTTATGGAATATCATGGAGTGTTGCCTGAACTTGACAATGCAATCATGCTAGAGAAAAACTTTGATTGCAGGATGTCTATGTGAATGCTAACTGAAGTACCAAAGAGACACATGGTTGGTATCACAATGTTACCATAATTAAGGTATAGAACCAGTGAGTAATTCCTGATGGAAAGGTTTTCTGTATGTCTCTGGTCCAGTCACTCCTCAGAAGGGAGGGATGAAAGGACTAAGATGAGTTTGAGTATCATCAGGGATAGAGGTTCTATAACCTCCCTGGGCAATCTGATAAGTAAGGATTAAATCCTCTGCATCGAGCTGCTGTGAATGAATTAAACAAATATAAAACACTGCTGAGTACACAGTTAAACACTGAAATTCTGCTAGAAATTGTTTATGCTACATCAAATCTGTTAGAAAGAATCTAACAACCCCTGGTATTTTCACATTGATCACCTGCTCTCAGGTTCAGAGTAAGACCATCCTACTCACTAGAATACTCAGTATAAAACTGCTTCATAGTTCCCAGCATAAAGATGATGTGGCTTGTGTGTTTTACCTTCACTTAAGACAATTAAGAGCAACCCTAATTGTGAGTGGTAGATCTGAGCTCCACTAGGACTGTGAGTTCTCATACACTTCAGTCCCTGGATCACCCTGTGGGAGCAGTATAATCTCTAACCCTCCCTGTACTTCTTATGAAATAAAGACATGCTTCCTTTAAGCAGGAACAAAACACAAAGAAATCTATAGTCCTACACGAGCTCCTAGAAAAAGGATACAGAGGGCCAGGGTCATAATCCCAAACTCACCCTAGTGCTCCAGCCACTGAATTCACCATCTCTCTCAAACCAAAATTTTGGGTTGCCCTGAAAGAGGAGCAGAACCATGCATGAGATAAAACCTCCTGGTATTTAGTGGAAGCTGGCTGCCCTCTAATTCCATGTTCTTTTAGAAATTCCAATCCAAAAGCCATTTGTAAACTTGAGATTCAATTTCAGCTCTCCAACTGCATGAAATCTCAGTCATCTTCTAACAAGTAGAGAGCACAGAAAGGGCAAGGGAACATTCATTGCACACATAGACTGGTACAGTTTCTTCTTTGAGTTAGCAGCCAGCCCATGTGGAAAATCTTTGATGCAGCATCATCAGAGGTGCCTGGAACTCTTCACACAAACAGTGTGGGCAGAGGGGACCAAGGCTGGATTAATTTCCTGGAATGGGTTACTGAAATAGACACATCTTGATTAAATCCCGGAACAGACACATACCTAACATTTTCATGCTCAATTTTTCACATATTTTAAAACATTTTAATAAAAGGATACTGGAGAACATGACCTAGAGTGTTCACATTTTATGAAATCTAATTTCCACATTAGTTTTGATCGTAAGCACAGAAAGATACCATTATATCAGTCTGGACTTTCTGGTACACTTTCTGCACCAAATATCTATAGTGCACATCAGCATCTGAGATATGGCTGCTCCAGAACTTTTGATTTGTTTGTCAGCATGTCCTATACTCATGCAAACAAGAAAATCAGTCTTATATATTCAAGCATCAGTAGAGAAAAGCTGATCACCATTCCAGTTACAATAGAAAAAGAAGGCACCCTTGGACAATGCCTTTCCCTGCAGTTACAAAGGTATTATTGACCCTAAATTCAAAGGGGAGCTTCTGTTCAAGTAGAATATGCAAATCCTTGAATCAGAGGGAATCACATCATTTCCATCACAGTGATGTATTGATCAGCTGTATTTTCTAGACACTGACTTCCTGTTTAACTCCCAGGCTTCTAGAATAAATGGATTTTATATTTTCAATGATCTCCATAATGGACTGTAAAATTTAGCCAACATAAAAATAAACACAGCAAACCCTGGTTTTGTTAGGCAGATGAAGTAACCTGTTCTTCTCAATCATCATAAAAGGAAAGTCCTCAGGATTTGTCAGTCTAGTCTGTTTATATTCCTGGTTTGTTTCAAGTGATTTTCTAGGCTAGACTTTTTTCTTTTAAATGCCTTTTTCTTCCTCTCTCCCTCTCTGATGAACACCCTGCTGTTGTTCTGTTTTCATCCTGGTCCTTGGTTTTTCCTCACCCCCAGTTCCGTAGAGTTGTCACGGCTGGACTTGCCTTGTCTTTGGTGCCACCTTTGGGCAAGTGGTGGTTTGCCACAGAAATACTCCAAAACTCCTCACTATAAATACTTTGTAATCTCAGGGTGGGCTCCTCAAAAGGTTTACTTCTTGAATGCTCAGTAATTCCCATACAGTTATCAGATTTTCTCTGATCACAGCCCATACTCCTGATTATTTCCTGGGTATCTGACCCATAGGAACAGCTAGATCCCCAATGGAAAAACTGAAACATTTAATTTATATTTCCACCTTTTTGGAATAAATTCCTTTAAAAGTAACTTGTTCGGTAGATCTTATATCATCCAGAAAACTTAGTCTTCACAATTTTCAATTTACCACACAGCATGGGTTAAGAATAACATAGTGTTTATCTTAAAAATTGTTTTCTGGAAGAAATCAAGGGGAGCTGAGATAGTTGAAGTTTTGTATTTCTTTTTATGTACCTAATTTTTGAAAGACAGCAGCTTTATGCTATAGTGATTAGAGGATAGGCTTTATTTTAAATGTTCTCATCACTCAAATGTTATTTAAACCTAAGCAATACTCCAGCCATGTTTATGTATGTGTCAGTGTGAAATGTTCTCCCAATGGCTTTTTACACCATTGGCCAATTTCAACTATTCTCAAGGCCATGAAGTTCCAATAAATTTCATTAGATAACTGATTGGGGGTTTCTAGTCATATCCAGTAAGAGAAAAGCTGCAGTTTGTGCTTAGCTGCTGTTTGAGACCTTACAGAAGTTTGTCTTTTCAGTGCAGCAAGGAAGAACCAAATATCACTGATTTCACTTCTCTGTTTCCCTCCTGGCCATAAATATCTACTCTCCTGTGTCCTGCTGAGCAACTGACAACCTTCATTTTGTAAATAGACACATTTACTAGGATGATCTTAAAGTGTGTACCATGCAATTAATTACTGCTGAGCAAACGCTGTCAAGATTAGACTTTTATAGCTAACCAAAACTTATATAACAACTTATAAAAAGTAATTTGGGCTGAAGAAGTTTTGTCTTTGAGCTTGCACTTGTATGTCAGAGATATCTATTACAAATGTATCAGTATTAGTATGTTTTGAAGAATACTAGGGCAACTGCAGGAGTTGTGTTTCATGGGTAATTAATATCAGGATTGGGCCCTTAAAAGTCAAAGTCTAATTTGAAGCTTTCCATTTCTAGTTATCAT